GGTAAAAACTCCTTAAAAAGCATTCAACTATATCAAAATGTTGCAATATGAATACTGGAAGGGACTAGAATGACAGTATATGCTCCTATTGACTTCTCTTCATAGGCTCCTTGTTAAATCTGTTGTAAATTGCCATCCTGCTCCTATAGTACTATATCTCCCCACTTGACTCTCAAACTTTAAGCTTACTAGAATATTTAAAAGTAGAATGGGAAGCCAGGCCTCCAGTTTTTAGGTCTCTGTTTGGAGTTATTATTAGTTATTATCAATCTCTGGCTCTCCTACACAGCATAGTTTTTGCCTTGTCTCTTTCTCCTCACCCCAGCTGGTCACAACAGATGACCACTCCCCCCTGTGCCCAGTTCTACTGGGCATTTATTCCTGTTAAAAAGGGAGTTCTCTTCTCCAAATTTCTTGCTAAAAGTGGGTCAGATAAATAATCACGTTTTATTTTTGCAGTTTATCCTTAGATAATAGAGTGGCTTTAGATGACTGGCATCGTAATTTCATGCCTGTTCAACCTTGAGTTGAATACTATACAGCTTGACAGCCTTTGTTCTTATAGAAAAATAGCCATTGAAAAGCTAAAACAGCTGTATTAGACTAATAAAAACCTTTCTCAGCCATGCATGGATTTTCAGTTTATAGACACTAATCATAAAAATTCCCTAATTGGACCTTGTTACACATTTTGGTGGTGGACTCTGAAGCAGACAATTACTTCACACCCCATTTTCCTTAACTTGAATGATAGTAAATTTTGGACCGTAAATAATACATGTAATTGGTATTATGTTTACAATACAGCTGGATGGCCATGATGAACATTGAGACCTCCTGAAAAACAAACAGTTCTAATTGCATTGTAAAAGGTCTACTTCAACAGTTTGTAAATTTGTATTGTACTAGGTCAATAGTCGCTCACCTATAGAGGTTTAATCATACTGACTCAACTCTGCCTTACCTTAATCTTCTCAGTTTGCCCCATACCAATGAAAAGTCCTTCTCTTTCCTCGGCTTTTTTTTTTCTCTTTTTCATGTTCCTTGTCCAAAATGACCTTTTCGGAAATCCAATTTGTACTTGGTTGCCAAGTGCCCGGTCAGACTGCATGTCCCTCCTCAGTGCTTCAAACTCTACCATTGCACACTGTAACTCAATCAATCAAAGCTTTATTCGTCACATGGAGGTTGTGCTGCAGTGAAATGGAACCCCCCCCGACCTTACACACACAGCACAGACATTACATGGGGATACAAGTCGGAGATCGGTAGCGTTACAGAAAAACACTGAATTGTACACTACAGTGGGAAAGTACAAGAGGGAAAAAAGAGACCTCTACTCATGCTGTGCTTCCATGGTAGGACAGCATGGGAACAGGAAACAAAAAATCTCCTCTGCACAAAAGCACATAAATGTCCACAGCACAACATTGTGAGACACATGACAAGCCACGGGGTTGGGTCGGGGGTGAGGAGTCATCTGAAGCGAACACAGCAGCCATCCTGCACAGCGCTACCATTCCAGCGCGGCACACAGACCCGCCGTGTTCCCCCGCAGGAAACAAGCATCGAAGGCGTTTGGAAAGGGAGGGGGATGAGTGTGTGCTTATCAGTGTAAGTGTATGTGTGTGTGTGTGTGTGTGTGTCCAGAGTCAAGCTGAGACACTGTCCTTCGCCCTGCCAGGCTAAGTAAACAGTCTTCCAGCCAACTCAGGTGGCCTTGCATAGGATGGGCAGGAACAGACAAAACACAATCATTATCAGGGAGTTTTTGTTCAGCTCCAGCCTTGAGCCCACAGCTGGCGCCGAAGGGGTAGCTGCATGAAATGATGATGGTTTTAACTTTAGTGCGAACAGCTCATAAGAATTTCAAAGCTGTTCTAACAGTCCAATACTGGTCTCTCAATCTGCCGTTGGAGAGCCGTGAGCTTCCTATGATGTTATCCAAACTTACGTTCCGTGGTGTTGTCATTCTTGTGGTCAAAGAGCAGGTTCTGAGAACTCACAACTGCGGTGCACTTCCCAAGATGTGTTCAATTTGCACCCAGAGGTGTTGTTCCGAGCTGGCCCCTCCAGATGTAATCAGTTTGCACTCAGAGGTCTTGTTCTGAGTATTCACGGCAGCCGTGTGGTTCTCCAAGATCTCATCCGTGTTGCACTCAATGACCCATTTCGAGAAACTCGCGCCTCATCCCATCGTTTTAATCCCAGTGGGCAGCTTTGTGGGGGTTTGAACTGCCGGTTCCACTTCCTTAATTCTTCGATAAGCCAGGGCCAAGCTCCGATCAGCAAGAACCCTGTTATCATGGTTCCGAATAGGTGGATATCTTCAGCAGTCAGGCTCACCCAAGCCCAGACTTCTCGTTGAAGGGGTGTCAATTGCATTCAGAGACCAGTTGATCAATCCATAATTCCTCTTTTAGGTTTTAGAGAACAAACTGTGAGAGAGTGTTCCAGGGAAAAGTAATAGTTTTGTAATAGATGGAAGTTTTCTTCCATCACTCCTGTTCTCACTGGCTTGCACTGGCTTCCAATTAAATACCGCATTCAATTTAAAATGTTACTTTTCACCTACAAAACCATTAATAACTTGGCGCCGAGCTACCTCAATGAGCTTCTCAAGTTACACACTCCTGTCCGAGCACTTAGATCTGCTACCCAAATTCTTTTGGAGCAACCTCGTTCTCGGCTGAAGTCTCGCGGTGACGGCGCGCTTGCTGTAGCTGCTGTAGCGGTCTTATGGAACAACCTTCCTGTCGCTATCCGGGCGTCTGACTCTATGCCACTGTTTAAATCACGGCTGAAGACTTATTTGTTTAAAACAGTAAAAAAAAAAAAAAAGAGAGACTGGAATGATTATGATGTATAACACAGAATATGTACAATAACAGAGTTATAAACACACCTAGAAAACACGTGATACTTTTTATTTCATCTACAACCTCTGTGCAAATTTTGTTGACTGCAAAGTGTTTATGAATATGTTTTTAAAAGCTGGTTATCTGACTGTCAGTTAATAGCAATTAAAAAGAAAGCTGATTTTTATTATTCCTAAATGGAAAAAGTCCATTATGAATTTTTGTTATGAATTTCATTTATCAATCCACCTCCTCACTGCTCTTTCCCGGTGCAGCAGCCAGAGCTGGATCAAGCAGCCAGATGGCTTCTGGAGGAAGACTAACTGCAACAAAGGGTCTCTGGGAGGCTGCTCAGGCACAGCAGCTGAAAAATCAAAGATGAAATAAAACCTGGACCTGATCATGGTGCTGCATGAGACAAAAAGTCTAGATGATAAACCAGTGTATGAACTGGTAACACTGCTTATGATGATCATGTTTAGGTGGAAACTAGCGAGCTAACTTACTGCAAAACTCTAACTCAGTTAAATTGAATAAACTCTGTTTTCATGGATGCCTGGATGTTAAACTTAATTGTTAAACCTGGTAAAACAGCAACGCTGATCATTTTATTAAAGATGAAAGAAGTTAGACCGTTTTTAGCTCTCAGTGATCCCTCAGTGTTCGTTTGACTTTGGGACCTGAAATATGGCAGCTTTTCACTTACACATTTTTGAACCACTCATTCATAGAAATAGTTTCCAGTCAAAGATCTGGACAGATCCACCAAGTTCACAGTAGTTTTACAATTTTCTGCAGCGCAGAAAAAAAAACCCCTGAAAACATCACACCTCTGAAGTAACACATTGTGATTCATGTACCGTGGGCCAGAGCTGTGGCATCTAATGTCTGGTTGTCAGTGTCCTTTGGAAAAGCAAGTGATTGTCCTAAAATCAGATGTCCCAGCAGATTGATCTAGTTTGCCAACAACATGAGAGGCTGCTCCTACCTGTCCTAGTGAGCTCGGCATAAATCAGTGACCTCTGACCCTGGAAAAGTGTTGTGATTAGTGGAGAGAGGACAGTGACAGACACTTCCTTTGGTAAATCCAATATGACTGAGATGTCGACCACAGTCAGCTGCAGAGCAAACTGCAGCGACTGCATCACCTGAAAAATAATGAAAAACCCTGAAAAAATATACATTTATGTTTTTGGAATTTATGTCTTCTGTTCAAATAATAATATCATCTTGCCTTTTCATGATAATTGTTATGACTCATTGTCTTACTTTTGGTTGCATCCTGTCAGTCCCTGTGATGAACTGAGCGTGACCTCCTCCTTCCTTGGCCATCCCATTGATGAGAGCAGAGCTGG